CCTCCCGACTTCTTTACAACATGACAAAAAATACAATACATAGTGGTGACGCACTCAAGCGAAATACTTATGTTCACGTCACCACTTGACATAAAATTTGACCGATATAATAAACCATTCCTCTCTGCAGCCTGACGACTTGTTCGAGGGCCTTACAGGCTTACTGCAGATGTGTATTGAACATAGCTTGCTAAAAGAGCCAGTTGTTTGAACATGATGAGCTTCGTTGTTGTAATTTATCAAAAATATTTGCTTCGTCTCAGCCTAACGACCTCAAGGTCTTTAGTAATTTACTATATTTTTTTATGTCGGTGAAGGTTAGACATTCAGGTAATAAGATAAAGATACTCAAGCAACTGGAACAGCAGTTCCAAAATCATAACCAGTTGCTTGAATAACTGTTTTTTTTTTTATATAGTTTTAAAATACTATCATGAAAGTTAATCTGTGTTGGTAGTTACATGTTTAAAGTTAAAACTTTTGGTCCAACACAAGCTTCACTGGGTCAGTCTACTGAGGAAGACCAGGGTGACTGGTCGAAAGCTCTAGGTGAGAGAATTTTTGTTGTTGGACCAAACGTTTTAACTTTAAACATAGCTTTAAAATGTTTGCCTTCTCTTTGTAGCCTGACGACATGTTCGAGGGCCTTACTGAAACGGAGGAGAGGAAAGTGAGCCCGGAGAACATTCCTCCCGACTTCTTTACAACATGCAAAAAATACAATACATAGTGGTGACGCACTCAAGCGAAATACTTATGTTCACGTCACCACTTGACATAAAATTTGACCGATATAATAAACCATTCCTCTCTGCAGCCTGACGACATGTTCGAGGGCCTTACGGAAACGGAGGAGAGGAAAGTGAGTCCGGAGAACATTCCTCCCGACTTCTCCGCCTTCTTCGCCACATACCTGAGCACGTACGGATGGCCGGACGACCCGGAGGTTCTGGGACCGGGAGCCAAGCCCATCGAGGAACTGATCGACCCAAAGTTCCTGCTGAAACCAGACGTGAGCAGCAATTTTATGTTTACTTTATTTATTTATTTATTTATTGATCTTAAAAGACAGTTGGGTGGTACCTTCAGTCTCTGAAAGACTGATTTCCAAGGTAGCCCAACAGTACATACACATTGGACAACATTAAGGAAAACATATTGTTTTTGCTATGTTTCCTCTTCTTCTTCTCCAAACACTAACCTCTGACCTGGCCAATGACATGATTTGTTGACGTCTGTCACCATGGTGACTGGTGTTGGGTTACATAATGTTGCAATGGTCTGCTCTGCTCCTGTCACCATATACTAGTGGTACATGTATGTGAATGTGTTTGAGTAAATAAAAATTAACAGGGCAGACCATGTCAGAAGGTAAACATTATGCATTTGCTTTGCAAATGTTACTTCTCTAGTTTTTGCTATGTTTCCTCTTCTTCTTCTCCAAACAGTGACCTCTGACCTGACTGAACCAGACTGTCTCTCACCATGGTAACTTCATGGTGTTAGGTTACATAATGTTGCAATTTTATAGTAGGAGGGATTTAGACTCCTATCACCATAAATGTGAATGAGTAAGAATTAACAGAGCAGATCATATGCGAAAGTAAACATTATTCATTTGCTTTGCAAATGTTGCTTTTCTAGAGCATATTTTTTCTGGAAGCTTCTCTTAACCTTCTCCCCACTGCATAAGCCAAAACCAGTAGAGAATTGGAACGGAACAACTACTTTAGTATGATGAAGATTAAATTTGACTATATTTGAAACCAGACGTGAGCAGAGACCATTTTGTTACCCTTCTCCCTGTTGTCTTTTCCCATAACCAATCGAAAACCGGCAGCCAAACGGCTACTTCAGTATTCTGAAGATTAGCCTTCTCCCTGTTTCCTAAACCATAACCAGTAGAGAATCGGAACCCAACAGCTACTTCAGTGTGGTAAAGGTTAAACATGACATTATTTGAAACCAGACATGAGCAGAAATCATGTTCTGGGAGATTATCTTCCCATTTTCCCTGCTGCCTAACCCCGTAACTACAATTTGTAGCAAAACGGCTAACTTCAGTATACTAAAGCTGCTCCCCGTCTCTGTAAGCAGTAGAGTATTGGAATCCAACAGCTAATTCAGTGTGGTAAACGATAACCTTGACTATTTTTCTCTAGGACCCCGACGGAGCTGAGTCAGTGGTATCAGAGGCGGAATCGGCAAAGTGCGGACCTGATCTTCTTGGTGGCCCTGGAGGAGTAGCAAGGGTAAACATTTTATTCATTTGTTTACGTGTGGGCTACCCAGAACCGCGCCTGAACTTGGTTCTGGATAATACACGATTCTGAATAAAGCAGTACACTGGGTATAGAGGCAATAGAGAGTATTAAGTAGCCTAAGTAACGGAAAGATTGTATAATTTTTTTTCTATTCCAACATCTTTATCAATAAGTTTTTCAACTTATTTTCATGCCGCCACCGACGCAGACAAACGCACGGATATACTCATTTTCACCTGAGTGAAGTGAGGAAAGTCGTGTAAAGTGCCTTTCCCAATGGCACAAGATCGGTGGCATGGCAGGATTCGAACCCGGGACCTCTTGTTTGCGAGCCGAACGCTCTGTCGTTTCGCTACATGACCCCAATAATTTTTGTTGTTGCTTGTTTCCCCCATACGGTGACAAGGCAGTATCCATTGGCCAGAGGAGTGTCCATTAGCCTAGCCAATGAATACTGCCTGGCCAATTTGAGGCCACCGAAAGATCTGCTTGGAAATAAGTAAGTACCCTGAGTCGCGAAAAGATTGTATGATAATCTTCTGTTGTTGATTGTTTCCCCATAGGTGTTCGTCCTGCCGGACTATGACTCTTACTTCCTCCGCGCGAAGACCAAGCCGCAGGGGAAATACGTGCAGTGTGATCTCGGGGAGGACACGGGCGGAGGGCAGCGGAAAATCGCAGTCGGGTTCATGATACCGTACAGAAGGTGGGTTTACTTTGCAGTTTTACATATATCCCTCGGATAGGGCGTTAAATGGAGGTCCCGTGTTTGGGAGAGCCACACTCCACGCACGTTAAAGAACCCACCGCACTTATCGAAAAGAGTAGGGGATCTTCCCGGTGTGAGTGGTTCAAACATTACAGTCTGGTCTCAGGTTTGACATCTTGAAAAGGTGATATTCACTAATCTCCAAGCAGATCTTTTGGTGGGGGTAAGACAGTATCAAATTGGCCAGTCTGTAGCCATTTCCCCACCCCTTTGATACTGTCTTACCCCCACCAAAAGATCTGCTTGGAGATTAATATTCACCTGTTATGTCAATCCTTCCACAAATGTGGTAAATCGTCATAAAGATGCATGGCAAGATAACGTATGTTATACACCCTTTTGAACTCGAAATTTAAGAAAATGAGAAAAATTTGATGAAATACTGATTTACAATTTTTGATTGTTTCTCCTGTCCAGGATCGTGCTCGCATGCGCACCAGCTGACGAACCTCGGAAGAAGGCGCAGGCGCAGTTGGTTCGTGTCCTTAAGACGTTCCATTCGATTTCGGTGAAGGTGAGTTACGTTTCCTTACTAACTTTTTAGACCGAAGCATGCCATTCCACGGTTGTAATCCTAGGGAGTTTTTATATTTCTTTCCTGAACAAGGTTCTGTTCCTAAGGCCTCACGTTGCCTTCCTAAGATGGTTTCCAGTAGCCTCCATAGCATGCCGAAAAACTGGGGGGTTTGGGGGGTCTTCAGGGTCTATGGGAGCTTTTATGTGCTATTTTCTTATTGCATATAGACAACACAGCCGGCCTGGTTGAATTACCCCCGTTTCGCGAAAACACGAGACTAGGCGCGAGACTTGCATCGGTCTGCTGGGCCCCACCCCGTCGCCTCCCTCCGGAGCAAGGGTAGGTAAGTCTTGGAGAGCTCCCAACCTTCGTTCCGGTTTAACTTGACTTTTCTGTCTCCCTCAGGTGATCAGAGCGGTCCTGTCCACGCGGACACGGGTTGTCTACAAACGGACCTACCGGAGAAGGAAGAACGGCGGGGAGGAAGCGGCGAAGCAGAAGACACAGGCAGAGGTGAGACAATCAGCAGAAGAAAATTTACTACATTGCAAAATGGAATTCAGTGTTTGCTGCCTACTTGCAGGATACTATGAGCTGTATCCAGAACCATGCACAGGCACTATCCAGAACCGTACCTGGTCATGGTTCTGGATAAGGCACGGATATGTGTGGACTATCTATAGCTAGGACCGTGCCTGAGCATGGTTCTGGATAGTCTCCCAACTCCAGATGTGCAAGAACGTAAATTTAACCGGTGACGTGCTTGGACATAGTTCTGGATTAAGCACTGTTCTGGATATGTTTGGACTATCCAGAACTCTATGTTGCTTCTAGCTAAATTCTCCATGTATCCAAGAACTGAGCATGGTTCTGGACAAAGCACTGTTCTAGATACAACAGTGACCACAAATTGGTTCTAGCTAAATTCTACATGTATATCCAAGAACGTAGATTTGCCCAAGCATGGACTATCCAGTGACGTACCTGAGTACTGTTCTAGCTCAATGTATACAAACTCCTGATGTATCCATGGCCATGAGCGTAGATTTGCCCAAGCATGGACTAGCCAGTGACATACCTGATCATAGAGGGCCTGCAAGGGGGGTGTCCCGACGACGCTCTACGCTGAATTCGGAAACCTCTCGATTACGCTTTACAATGAATTCTAAGTGGCTACAACGCATTATGTAGAATTAAAACGCCAAATACGCTCAACGCAAAAATATTAGACCGGTCCGTCTACGCTCTACGTAGAATTAAAAGGGCCAATTACGCCCTACGGAAAAGGACTTGCGGGCCCCCATCATAGTTCTGTAGAGTGACGACTCTTATTTTGGTTCCAGCTGAAGGAAGAGGAACTGATGCAGAAGTTCCAAGAGGCAAAAGCGAAAGTGAAGGACAGAGAGGCGGAGTCTTACGGTCAGGCGGAGGGAAAGTTGCTGCAGTCGAAAGATTCCATGAAGTCGGCGGCGATGGAAGCAAAGGAAGCTTTCCTGAAGTACGCCGCTTCCGCCGGGGCGAGCGGACAAGGCGGTGGGGAGGGTGGCGGTGACGGTGGTGAGTTATTTGTTCATTTCTTAATACAAAATGAACTAGAACTGGTTCTACTTCGCACTGCTTCTAGATGTCGCAGCTGCAGCACTTCACTCTGCAGCTAGATGTCGCTGCTGCAGTGTTAAGAATGCGATCCCATATGTGGCGTATTGTTACAGTACATAGTGTGAAACAACGATACGGGAATAAACAGTTATCAGCAATACTGACTGAGTAGAATCAGTCAGTGTTGCCCCGAAATGAACGTTGTTATAGCAGCCATTTAACTGTTGTGTCCGCCTGCTGAATGACAGTTAATGTTATAAGTTAATGTTATAACAGAATGTTAAGTTGTGATAGTAGTGGTTTTCTAGGATTTGTGACTTGTTTTGATGGTTATTTTTAATGTATAATGCTGATACGCCAAAGATTTGAATTCGCAATTCAGTACTGGTGCTGTAAAGGTTTTTAATATTGAACAAACCATTATCTTTCTCTCTCTTTACCAACCTAATGAAATCATTGACGACCTTTGCAGACGTGACGTGGTCGAAGTCGGAGGTTGTGGTGTCGAGACAGTCGTGCGCGGAGCTGGCCGGACTCCTGATGCAGTTCCAACAGTCTTACCAGGACGTCCTGGACGCAAGCATGATCCTGGGAAAACACACAAAGGTGCGTTTGTTTTGTTAAGAGTGAGAACTTTAGGTCCAACACAAAATGTTCTCTCACCTAGAGCTTTCAACCAGTCACTCTGGTCTTCTTCAGTAGACTGACCCAGTGAGGCTTGTCACGTGAATTCTTTGAAGTGTGACGTCAACACTGGGTCAGTCTACTAAGGAAGACCAGTGACTAGTCGAAAGCTCTAGGTCAGATAACTTCCTGTGTTGAACTTATTGGTCATGCAAATCATTCAAAATCAAACGTACTACTTTTGATACACGAATTGAATTGTTACGTCACATACTTCAGTGTAGAATGATTTAGACCGTGGATTCTCATTGGTCGATGTTTGTCACGTGACAGGTGGAGTGGCACCAGAAGTGCGTTGTCAAGACGACCAAGTTCTTCAGTTTCTCGGCGACGACAGTGATCAAAGGGGCCCGCCTCTTCACAAGTTCTTCCGACATTCACAACACCAAGACCAAGCTGGCCCTGGCAGCACAGTGAGTGGGGATTTTCTTTTGTTACCCTTCACTGAGAAAACACATTCGTTTTGCACTGTTTCTTCTTCCTCTAATGCAAAGAAATAAGGTCATTGATCTGGACCAGACGGCTGTCACCATGGTAACTGGTGCTGTAGAAGACACCCTGTGGTGTTGGGTTACACTGTGTAGCAAATGGCAGGACAGGAGGGTGGTCATTATATACATGTATATTTATATGAACATTGTACCATATACGGCATCTACATCAACTTATAGCAAGCGTGGACGCCCTAATAGTATATGGTGATAAAATATTAGAGAGGTGTGCCCTACATGTATAATAGTGTTGGAAAGAACAATATTTTGTCGTCCAATCGTAAACATTTTTCTCTCCTAAAAATTTTTCAGGGATCTGACGACATCGATAGATGAGATGATCAACGTCTGCCACGAAAAGTTCCCGGATGAGAACGCAGAGGCTGCCGGGAACGGGATTCAGCCTGACAAGCTTCTGGAGGTATGACGTCAGTTTGACTCAATTCAAGTTTGACCTCATTAAAACTGACAATCTAAAGATACCAAAATCCTACATACTTTAGCACGAAACCGTTTTACTTTGACGAAGGTTAGACATCCAGGTAGTGAGATACACAAGAAATTGTCGTCCCAGCAACCGGATAGATTAGTCAATCTATAGTTTTCTTAAACACTTGTTCAACCGCAGATACAGATACCGTAAAAGTCAATGACGAAAAGCAGTGAATGCTATTTGAAACGTCTGACAGCATTCAAAGTCTATTCAGTTGTTTAAGTAACAATTCCTTACTTTTTACGTTTTCACTTCCAGGCTCAACATTTAATGATCATGACTACTTAGTAAAACATTGAATTTTATTCCAACGCAAGGGTTACAGAGCGATCAAATTTTCGACGACCACTGTCGCCTTCATCGCTCTGTAACCCTTGTGTTGGAATAAAGTTCAATGTTTTACCATGATTACTACCAACATAGATGAACTTTCATGATAATCATGACTACTTGATATGGTCTACGAGCTTATTTGCCATAATTTTGTTTGCCATTTTTCTAGTAGAACTCATAAAAATTTTGCTCACATTGCAGCTGCTGAAGACAATTACCACCAACGCCCCGAATTCGGACCTCCCAGAGATCAAGGAGTTCAAAGAACTCGCCGCCATCATGGCTGAGTCACGTGGTGACACGCGCATGGGCAAAGCAGTGCAAGCACGGATGGAACTCCTGGCTACATACCTGCAGAACAATCCGGACTACTGCGGGTTCGACTTCGCCGAGTACAAGAAGCGCATTGTGGGCTTCACAGCGGCATAAGAAATATTTATTCTGACCTTCTGACAACACAGAATATCGGGTTCTAGAAAGTTATTCTACTTTGCAGAGAACAAGAAGTGTATCGTGGAATTTACAGCTGCATAAAAACGGAGTATGAATAGACAATACGCATAATGAATTTCCAGAAGCCATGAGCCTCAAAAAAGTTCTTCAACTGCACCGAGTGCGAGTAGTTTCTGAACTTTTTAGTAGCATAACGAAACAGTTCTGGGCTTCTAGACTTACTTGAAAGCATGTAGATGGATTTCCATAATCAAAGGGCACATAAAGCATATTCTTAACTTTTTTGGCAGCACAAAACCTGGTTCTGGGCTTCACAGACAATAAATACAGGCCAGGGGCTTCTAGAAAGTAATTCTACTTCATAGTGTACAGAAAGTAGATTCTGGGCCTTTGACAGTACGGGACGCTAAATTCTGGGCGTTTAGACTTAGTCCCAGGGCTACTAGCGAGTTACATTAACATATTCTTGACTTCTATAGAGTACGATAAACGCATCAAGGCGCTAAGGTTGTATATTAGATAGTTCAGCTCAGTAAATACTTAAGAAAGAAATGTAATATTAGAAAGTACGAAGAAACCATTGCCTTATAAAGAGTACAGCAATGGATTTGGGGCTATAGAATTACTGGTCACACAAGGTGTAACAACAAGAAATTGTGTATTTTGAAACAGATCTATAGATTCAATATCATGCATAACTATATTTATAACACAATGTATAATGCCAGAAAACAATAGCGCTTAGCACGCTTCTAAATGTATCAAACCTGCCGGTATTTATATCAAGAAATTAAAAAAAGTGAAGATAGTGTATGAGCTAAAATGCCAAATAACAGTTTTATAAGCACGTAAGGAGGTGTGATAGCCTGCAATGATTTGAACTGCTTTGCCAAATGGGTAACTAGAATGTCAACATTGTACTAGTTGACTAAGCTGTTGCAATAACTGAGTAATGTTGCTTTTGTATTTATGAATAAACATGTATGTCCATACACATTGTTTCTGGTACTTGTATTTATCACATAATGAAATATATATAAGAATGGTTTATTTGAAATTTCCACCACACATGTCACACTTGCAGTCCTAAGACTGAATTATGGTGACAGTACATAGTATATTACATACATTATCATAGACTTATAACAATTATTACTAAAGGTTAAAAATTAAACATTACAACTACAACTACACTATGTACAGTCGAAGTGTACAATGTATATTAAAATTATATATTAAGCTTCTTGTACTAAAATATTACTATAACTGACTGAAACACATATAAAACCTTGCAATTTGCCAATATAACCCCATACAAGGTGGAAATAGCTCGACCAGCGGACTGTAGGAAGATATTTGGGTCATCAGGTCATGGCAGGGTGACCTGTGTGACCTGGGTAACCCATAGGTCAAATAGCTCTCCTGATTGCACACCACCCCAAAATCCTGAAAATGATGAAAATACCGCAAGAAATGTCCGTATGCACAGTTCTTTTTCTGTTAGAATGTTGATATGGCCTCCATGGGGTGTAGCCAAGTGCCGTAAAAATATTAAAGTGTAGAGCTAGTATTTATTCTGCAATCTCCCACCACTTAGAAACTGATTCTCCGAGCATCACTGTTACAGTAGCTAGTAGTAAATTATTGAGTCAAACTCCCGAAACTAAGCTATAAGCTACGCGATACAACGTAAAAACGTTATTGGCTGAGTCATGAAACATCTGAAACCTCGTAATTTGCCTGAGTGTACTTCCTTACAAGGTAGATATATCTACAGTAGCTCGACCAGCGGACATGTAAAAAGATATTTGGGTCAAGGCAGAGTGACCACTTCCCAAACCTCCCTTGCCAACCTGTAAATTCTGTTGTATCATGTAGACCTAATAGAAGTCCACTTTACCTTCAAAAGTTTGGGGCCTGAGTGTCTAAACTTAGACTAAAGACTGTCATGTCGGCGATCCAAACCAGATAAGCTGTTATACGTGACACTACAGCCTACAGGATTATCAGGATAGAGCTGAGGTCACGGTAGGATGACCTTTGTGACCCAGAGGTCACCCATAGAAGTTCAAAGAACGTTTTTCGAATATGTTGAATTTCTGAAGTGTCCTTGGCTTTTTGGAGCAAGTTTCTTTACGTTTCTTAAACAATACGTTGAATTGCTTTTGGGTGAGTTTAGAGATAGATTTCAACCTGAAATGTTGTGTTATTTCCTGTAATCGAAAGATTTTACTGTAATTTGCGGAGGCCCCCCTCCCCACCTGAATCCATGCATATACTGATATACTAGTATGTCCTGGAAGGACGCCCTGACCCCCAGTGGAATGGCATGTGCGGAGTACTGGAGGGGAAGAGTGTAGCAGTGAATGGTGACCCGAGAAGAAGAAGAAGTATGTCCTGATGTAGATGGCCTCTTAATTCATCAATTTTCTACCGTAGTATCCACCTCTAGTATCATGGTGCATGTTCAGATTCTTTTAGTTAATGGAAAAGATCTGTTTTTCTTCAATATAATTTGGTTATAACGCAGTGACTCAGTCGTGCAAGCTTAAAACATAGGATGCAATCAGATGAGAAGTTTATTGATATTACCTCATTGGAACCATCTAGATAGACATTAACACAGGTGCCGGTATAATGCACATATATGATGATGTTTGTCCATCATTACCATAATATCACCCCCCGTGCTGTGTAACATTTTTTTCTGTTAAAACTTTTGATCCAACACAAAAAAAGTTATCTTACCTAGAGTCTACCAGATACCTTTGATTTAGTGTTGATGTCACTTCAAAGAAGCCACGTGACAAGCCTCACTGGGTCAGTCTACTGAGGAAGACCAGAGGGACTCGTCGAAAGCTCTAGGTGAGAGAACTTTTTGTGTTGGATCAAAAGTTTTTACTTTAAACATGTAACTACCAACACAGATAAACTTCCATGATAGTAACATTTTTTTTCAGTTTCACCACCTGTTCTTTGAGTTCCCTGGTAACATCACAGTATATAATGTTACACCTTTTTGCTATCAATCATGAATATATGGATATAATATCACCCTTCTTGTGTATACTTTTACAGGTTGTATTGCCCCAAAATGCTATAAATGGTGTGATAGCAGCCAGTGGTGCATTTTCTTAAAACCAACGGTTTATATTCCAAATGTGTGAGATGTGTGTGTATAATATAGTTCAGCTAAGAAATAATCTGAGTTTATAGAAAAAATTATCTAAAATCAATCATTGCACTGCAAATATTATTAACACAGAAAATGAATCATTTTGCTTGAGAAGTGACCATAGATGTGAAAATTCCACAAACATGGATTAAAAAAAAGATATCCAAGCATCCAAATGCAGGTATGAAATTTGATATCCCAGTCGAAAGCTGATTGGTTGATCCGTTCTCTAGCGAACGATCTGATTGGTTGATTCGTACTCTAGCGAACGATCTGATTGGTTGATCCGTACTCTAGTGAACGATCTGATTGGTTGATCCGTTTTCTAGCGAACGATCTGATTGGCCTGTTCCTGGGAGAACAGTTGTTCTCGTTCCTTGATGATTTTGGCGAGAGCGCCCGGGACGTCAGCTTTGTTGCGGATTTGAGGGATGTTTGCTCCACCACGACCTAAGAGAAAAACACAGAAAGTTTTGTCAATTTGTTTGTTTTTATTAATTTAACCAGGGGGATACATATCGCTTTTCAATGAGCCCTGGGCCTGGGGAAGACCCCAAACAAAAACATCAAACTCAACTAATACAAATAACAACAAAAGTAACTTATAAAGTTACAAAAGTTACTAAATAATACAAAAGCAAGGTAACTTAAGTAGCATACATTGCGCATGAAATCATAATACCAAAATAAGTGAAACAAAAGTGAAGCCTGACCATCAATGACCACCATCATTGTCAATGCTTCGTAATGACAGTTACAGTTTGATTTTCTTCAGACCTTAGGATTCTATCAGGTATCAACTAAATTAAACAGATAAGGCATTGTCCGAGAAATAGGAGAACCCTGTCCGCAACACTGAAAGAAAGACAGAGAGAGAGAGAGAGAAGATAGAGAGAGAGAGAGATAGAGAGAAAGGAAGGAAGAGAGACAAAGTTTGGTTTCTTCCTCAGTCTGTTTTGTTGTGGTTCAAGACTTACTGAATTAGAAGCAAAGACACCAAAAGTAGGACGCCCTTCTCGAAAAATATGTATGAAACCAAGGAGGTTCCACAACCTATAACCTACAACCTCCTAGATATAACTTCTGCAAAAGATGCACTTTGTCGATGCTCAACGTTAACTAACTAACCAGTTAGGTCTTTTTCCAGTGACTTGAGTTCCTTCATTCCTTCCTGCAGGTCCAAATCGTCCGGGTCTGCAAGCAGTGCGCGCTGCACTTCCAGCTCCGTCATGTACAGCTGACCTAGGGAAGATCGGCCTGGGGAGTTGGTAGAAAGGAAATATGAGAAATTATATAAATCAATCAATAGTTTGGTCTCTCAGTCACTGGCGAAAGCTAGTGGATACTAGCTGAAACGTCTGACCGTTTCCAAAATCATATCCAGTTGCTTGAGTAACTGCTTTTTGGAATATGAAAGGTTGTTGCCATGTCGGTGGGGTGGTTGAGGAGCGGCCTTAGGACAAGGGTAGAAAGGAAATATGAGATGCTGTCGCCATGTTGGAGGGTTGGGTAGATCCAACATGGCGGCCAGTAACTATACAGCAAGGCGCGCTGAACCTCCAGTTACCGCAATGTATAGCTGTTATAGAAAGAAAACGGTCGGGGGGGGGGGTATCTGTAGAAGGGAAGCATGATTAATTGTCGCTATGCATATACTAGTAATAATATTTTGGTGTGGTGGCTTGATCCAAGATGGCGCCTGCGACCTCTAGCTATTGCTTCAGTGTTGGGTCAGGCTTAAACAATCAATGTACGTCAGTATGCTGTTGTGGGTTAGTGGTGCGAGACCTGCGTCGCTGGTGCGAGACCCATTCCTCATGCTCAACTGCGTCACGGCCGCTACTGTTACACGTCAGAGAAACTGGCAACACGGAATGTTGCCATTAAATCTGTAATAGAACAGCAGTCAAAACAACAAAAACAGCGATGAACTTTCATGCTAAAAACAAATCTTGTACTAACATGCTTTTTTTATGTCATAATTAGTTAAAACCAGCCATGGTTGTTAGAAGCTATTTCCTGAATTCCAACACGATATATAATCTTTGATTTCAGTCATCGAAGTAGAGTCATTGTAGACCGAATGTACAGATTATACATGTTTTTATATATATCAGAATAGACAGAGCAGAGCTGAGATATATACATGTATATAATTCTTCTGTCCGGTTTTAACATTGTTCTTGCAGTGCGATACTTACTGACGTGTTCCTCGCCCAGACCTCGCTTGGAGTTCATCGTCTTTAAGTTCTTCACCACACTGTCGACTTGCTGTAGGAAATTAATCAATAAATTATTCAATAAATCAATCGATACTATCATCGATAAGCTTGATAATTATTTAGGGAACACCCCTTGTCGTATTGCTTAATTGTTACGCTTTCTTTGGGTTATCTTGACTTTTTTTAGGAAAAATATCTTACATGTACATACCGTTATGTTTTGAATACGTCATGCAGTAAACCTAAACTATTTTAGAAAGGTCTAGTTCGTCTTAAACTACCCGCTCATGAGCTAATGAAATACTGTGATTCACTAGTTAACCCTTCACATACAGCAATGCTGTAGAAATTAATACACAGAGCTGTTTAAGACCTTACGAAAACCGCTGTTAGTACTTTTGTTGTGTCAATAACGTTTACTGTAATGTCCGTGTCTCCATTTTTTGGACTTAAACCAGAACTCGATGGGTTCTAAGAATTCGGGAAGTGGTTTGCGGAATCCGTGAGGCCAGGCGAACTGTGTACAAGTCACGGGCCCGCACCTACATGTGACGTCATCGCAAACCACACGACCGTCTGTTTGCACAACATGATCAAACAATGTCAACACAGAACCCGCGGGTTTACTTTGCAGTTTGATCTTCGAACATGTTGATCATTTCAAGGAATGATAGAGCTTGAGCGGAAGGGTTGGTCAGGGTTATTGTATGTATTTTCAAGTACATGTATCAAGTATATTCCTTTCTATTTTGACCGTTGCATGAGTTATGTAGTGGATGTAAGGTTATTTTATGGTATTTTGGAACTTGGTCAGATTCATAGGTAAATCGGTCGGTGTTACTGTATTTTGCTGGTGAATCGTGGCCTTTCTGCATTGCCAATAAATTCTCTCTCTCTCTCTCTCTCTTGCTCCCTCTTTCACTGTCTCTCCCTCACTCTCTCCCACCCTCTCTCTCTTACTCTCCCCCCCCCCTCTCTCTTTCTCTCTCTCCCTCTCTCTAATGTATACTTTTTTTTTAGAGTTAGGCTGCTTAGGCAACCCTCCTACAACCCCCGAACAATTATTCTGCTCAGACATTACTGTTCGTCCTAATCAGGTTTATACACATTACACACTTTAGTTTGTTTAGACTTGTGAAATCACGCATAACGCATAGAATTTACCGACTGCTGGCTTTGATATTTGTTTAAAGTGTTCCCGGTAGACTAAAGTGACACTTGCCTTATTTGTCAGGCTTGTAGAGCGCAATAAACGATTCAGTAGGGGTCGAACTATCGAGAAAAGGGGCGTGATATTTGCCAACGTTGGCTGCTCTTGTCACAGAAATAGTCACGATTTGTAGTCTGTAGTGTGTAAGTATGGGGGTGGGCCTCGAGTAGTTTTCTTTTTTTGCATATATTATGCTTTGATAAAGCACAGAAACCCCTTTTAACCATGTAATTCCATTTCAGCAATTAAATAGAGCAAATTGTTGTCATTAGTATGATTACAAGCACGCCAACTTCTAATCAGTACGATTTCTTGCTCTCTTATGCTTAATCTATTTAAAAGCTTAAACCCTTTTGCTTTACTACGAAATTCTACTAACATACAGAACTACAGTGACCACATATTTAGGACCGATTCTAAGCAAAAAAAAAAGACTGGATATCAAACGTTTCTTATTTAGCGGAGTTGATTTTCTTTGGTTTATTATAGTCAAACCCACATACCAACCGACCGAACCCCGGTACGCCTCAAATCGCCCTCTCACAAACGCAGACAAAACCTGATTTTCCTGTTTTGTAACTTCCGCGCCAAGACGGTACATCCCAGCTGGAACGAAGATAAACATATGGGACACAGAAAGACTTTCTAATATTTCATCTCCTTCCTAAGGTTTAAAACTTACTACTAGTACGGGGTTGTGCATTCACTATAAACTGTAGATCGGTATTGACACGCCAGTTTCGCATGAGCGCTCCTGTCTCGGTGGCTGGTCTTGTCTTATTGAAAGGTGGCTCGAGGATTGGCATATCTACCAACGTTATACCGACGCTTTCTCAGTTTTTATGCTTCAAAATACACTAAGAAAGACTTAACTAAAACAAGAAGCCTTTTTCTGTACCCAAACAAAGTAAATCTTAATATTCATAGCAATTCTTTAACAATCCTTGACAAGGTGTGTCAGGGAAAGTATGTTGTTATGGTGCAGGCAAAGACTACTGTCTACCGCTAAAACTTAAAGGTTTGGCAGCGTTTAAACATTCTGTATCGCCACCTACCGAAAGTAGTTGTTCTTTAGACTTCTTCTGTGCGGCGACACTGCCGTTGATACAGCAGCAGAGGAGCACAGCCAACAGACAGAGGACGCCTGCGGATCGGGGCGACATGTTGGTTGGGGGTCCGATTCACCGGTTATGGCGTCTGCACAGGTGTGTGCTCACGGTACACATTCCGGGGCACCCGGGGAGGTCACTTCTGGTGTAGACAATGCGGGGCTCCAAGCAGAAGTTGGGGGGGGGCATCGTTACCTACTGATTTTTCCAGTTTCTGAAGTTATCATATCCAGAGCAGTGCCTATCTAGATGTATGTCTGAACAGGTTATATCGTATCCAAAAAGATGCATATCTAATTTTATGCCTGACTGGGTTAGGATTAGGCATGGTTCTGGATAGTCTATGGGTATCGAAAAACGTACGTAGATTTGCCCTAATGTTCAAGCAGATCCAAGGGTGGCAAAAGGCAATATCAAATTGGCCAGGCAGTATCCATTCATTCGCCGGGGAGGGTCCATACGCCACCCAAGGCCAATTTGATACTGTCTTTCACCACCCTAGAATCTGCTTGAAGATTAGATTTGCCACACAGGAACGATTCTATGTACGTGCGGACTATGCAGGACCGTGTATGAGCACGTATATCTAGACGGGAACTAGACATACTGCAATGTTGGCTGTCCCGACTATACCTGACTTAAGGTGACCTCCCCGGGAATAACGTACCCATGCGATTTCCCCAAACACGGGCAGGACCGCGACGTCACACTTGATCGCCCCTTCTATTGGCTATTGACTCCGTATCCAGGCAACCCTTTTAGAGATAATGTCGTCCTAGTTTATCAATGGTATGGAACAGTGACTTCGGCGTTTGCGTTTCAAGATCGCAGGGCTCTTTTAAGTAGAGGAAAGGCGAGGGCTTTTCTTGTTACTCTGTGACGAGATTGTATGGGCTTCCAAGACGTACAGTATACAACAGATTTTAAAGTAAGGGTCTAAAGTTAAATTTGACTCAGTTTTCCTGCATTCTAGCAAAGCACTAAGGAAAATAGTAGTTTTACAAGGAATTTGAGAACAATGCCTTCAGTTATCAGATTAAGCTCATAAAATTCCATGCCACGACAAATGATTTTCATCTTAATCTTGATAGCCCGAAGGGACTGCCTTATTGCGTCATTTGTTGTAAGGGAAATACGAACGATATGAACTTCCAAACATTCTCGCCAGGAGGAGGACCCTCTACTCCCGCAAAAACTTGAGCCAGAACACGTCAAATGAAACTTTGAAAAATATGGCCTGCCTGTGTTACTAAAGTACAGTGTCTTGAAATTTGTTACATTACTACAATATTAATATTTTTGGTCATAGACAGGGTATATTAGTGTTTAAGTCAGTGAATGGTTATTAAAAAAAGACACAGACAACAGATATGTGATCCCATGACTCCGCTTTATTCCGTATGTACGGAACTCCGGATGTTTCCTCGTCTCATCACAAGACACGGTACATTTTGCCAATCTATCTTACAACACAGTGATCAAGAGACAGCAGTTCGCTTGTCAAGACAATTACCAAATTTTATATTATAACAAGTATGTGCTTAGCGTTGGTTTATACGAATGTGTTTTCAGTGTAGATGTTATGTATGCATAAGGCTTGCTTAAGGCGGTCCTTCGGTTTCGAAGATGGCAAGTTATGTATAGAAAACGTTTACAGACAATTCATCAGATCCCCATTAAAAACAACGCAAGTAAAAGGAACAAATGCAAATCCAAGTACAACACATGGCGTAGAAGCAATGTACTTTAAGGGTTATTCCTACACTTCTAATAATGATATGAATTGATAAGTGAACTTTGTCACCGTGATTGAACTCTGTGTTCCGCATATTGAGTCATTGTCACATTACCCATTTTTTTCTCAGCGCTATAGCAGCAAGTAAGCAACTACAGAGAGCGAAAAAGTATATACTGTGATAGGAGCAGATTCTAAAACATAATAAGAAAAAAGGAAAAGGGATTTTGTATATGAGCTTAAAAGAGAGATGACTATCTTATCGTTTATATAGTAATGAGTAGTAGTGATAGTAATCACTAACTAGTACTAAAACACTTCAGTGGTCCGAATGTAGCAAAATTAGATTTTGTATATAGCTTAGAAGAGAGAACAATTCATAATGCTTTAGTAATGAAAGTCACCAACTATAAAACGTAGGAGTTAAAGACAAGCTAAAGCTTAGGGTTAATTTAGTTGTCGCAATATGTACAGCAGTGCGCGATTAGAACATTGAGACCTCCGTAAATAATTCTAGCTTTGCTACCTAATCCAAGCCCTTGAACATTTAAACAGCCGGCCAAGGGTGAACTTTTAGCTTCTAATTTCAGTACCAGGCGTCAACAGCGAGTCTATAACATTACCAATATGATGATCAAATTTTCTAGGATGCGCTTAGATGGACATTCCAGCTTTTTTGCTATGCTGATAAGTTCATTACTTAGTATACTGCCTCTTAGTTTAGATGAAGAGCATAATTATACTATTTGTTATTGTTATAAAGTTCTCCATTAAAGTTTAGATGAAGAGCCTATACTATTGTTGCTATGGTCATAAAGTTCACCACTTTGTAAGTTTAGATAGTGAGCACTTACTGATGTTGGTATGATGCTTCGGATGATAACTTTTAACTAAAGAGGGTTTACTATTTCAAAGCCTGTCAAGTTTAGGGGCAAGAATTAGGCAGTATTTCTGTTCTGATACAAAGAGAACGGCTTACGCCTGAGTGTCATTCGTGAAGCTCAGCCACCAGAACAATGGCAACGAAGAGGAACACCATGATCTTGGCAAATCCAACAGACTGTCCTGCCGCTGCACTCGGTGGGACTGCCACTTCCACTGCGAAGCAAGACATTATGGTTCTAATTTGTTGAAGAATATTTTGACTTGATAACAAAAGCTTCGCCTGTGTTGCAACATACTTTAGTAGGTCTACATTCTCTTCCTAATCGAGACGCATTGAAGGCCAATACTCTATCTTACCACCACGTATTTACCAAGCATTTTCTAGGGATTAATTCATGACAGGTATGCACAATTCTATATACTTTCTACTACTCAGGAATGTTTTAGGAGATATACGTATGTCTATCTTCATGTTAGCATCAACTGTAAAATTAATTTTCTTTATAAGGTTGATCTGAATTAACAAGCTTTAGTGGGCGTGTTATAAGTCATTGAAATAAATAAAAAAGGCATAGCTAGCAAATAACCGTCTTTTGGTGCTACCAGGGTGAAATTGACATTATGTAACATAGATACAGTTGTGTATATAAATCTAACATCTTTGCTGTAGTAATACCTGTGCATCCGGTTCCATTTCTGTTTCCATCTCCCTCATATCCAGTGTTACACGTACAAGTCCCAGGAGCCGTACATGCAGCATTGGGGTCGCACGGGTTGGGAACACATCCGCTGATTTCTGCAGTAAAACAAATAAATAAAGTATAGGCATAATAGTGACAGTATGCTATAAATTTTCAAATTCTCCACTACCCATCAATAATACTGCAAGCATGGACGTCTTATTGGTCACTAACAATTTAGAATGATTTTGCTACAGTAAATACTGGTAAAATATTATAGCACATATATTCTACTATCTCACTGTTGAGTTTTTATTCTTTGTAAAATTTTACCCGAATTAAGTACTTAAGTCTTTGGAAAAATCAAGAAATACATAGGGAATGAATATGTTTTGGGGCAACCAGGATAAAATTGGTATTGGCACAAATAGAGCGATCATCTTTGCTATAGTAATACCAGTGCATCCGGCTCCATCTCCCTCATATCCAGCGTTACACGTACAGTTCGCACCGGTCCCAGGAGCTGGCACGTCTGTGCATTCAGCGTTAGGGTCGCATGGGTTGGGAACGCATCCGTCGATTTCTGCAGAACAACAGGTGAGATGCAGGCAAACGGGTATAAACTATCAAATGATCGAAGTGTTAAAGCCTGGACGTACATGTATTATTGGCCACCAACAGCATTTCGGAATGATATTGCTATAGAGGCTAAGTGTTATATCATATGCCAAGGAATGCATGTTTTAGGAAAATGTTCCTATGTCTAGCTTCATGAGAGCACTCCTTTCTTAAACGGGTGAATGTTTACATTTCGTATTGTAAAGTTCACTTCCTTTACAAAAAGTTAATCTGAATTTACTAACTTAAATTTACGTGGACAGTGTTAAAAAGTCATTTTCCGGAATCAGACCTTTTTGACAAATTAAAAAAAAATGAAAATGCAGGATCGGTGTACCAGAATGATTTAGACATCAATACAAATATGTATATCAAACATTTTTGCTGTAGTATTACCTGTGCATCCCGTTCCATCTATTTGCCCATCTCCCTCAAACCCAGCGTCACACGTACAGTTCGCACCGGTCCCAGGAGCTGGCACGTCTGTACATTCAATATTGGTGACGCACGGGTTGGGATCGCATCCGTTGATCTCTGTGGGACAACAGATTAGGACAGTGTTAGGACAGTGCGGAAGTTAAATAAAAAAATAAATATAATAGCCTATTTCCCTTTTGAGTAATTCGGGTAACTGCTGCAATACAGTAGTGGAACAATGACAGTTCGGACTGCATTGAGAATCACTGAATCAAACTCAAGGCCAATTGTTAGACATTTCCTCACTACGTCCTCTACAAGAGGTAACAAATAGAAACGATCTACTTTTCTCTGTGAATGCACATGCGTACCAAGTCGTCTCTGTTTTTTCTTCTCTTACCTTCACAGACAGCTGATCCCCCTGCATTGCACACACAATCCTCTCCGGCATATTGCCAGGCTGCTCCGGGCTAGAATGGTGAGAATGGTACATACTTTTACAAGCTGTAAATACAATTGTAATAACTGCTTTGTTGAAAACTATGTTTTTCACTGTGTAGCCTGGATGCCAGTCCAATAGTATACCGGTCCCAAAGTACTTTGGGCCCACTGTGCTATGGGTCTGGCATCCAGGTTAATCACTACGTGCATATTGGTTTCTTTACAGAATCATAGCTTGAGCCCATCTAATCTGATGTAAGAGTTCACTCATGACACATATTACATTAAACATATAAATCAATCATTCTCAAAACAAAGCTTTTTAATCAGAGTTGACATATCAGGGGGATGGC